AACTACTAGCACGGTTTCAAAATACCAGAATAAGAATTCCGAAGCTGAAACGGCAACAATCATCAAAAAATGGATAAGGGTCAACAAAACAACAACAATTACAGAGAAAAACTGCAAGATTAAAGTGTGTTAAGGGCCAAGAAGTTTTTGTAATTCCATAACAACAAGTAAACATAGGCGATGGAAATTTGTGGTTTTAATATCTTGATAACCTGTAAATTAAAAAGTTGGCTGAGGAGGGGCAATAAATGCCCGAAACGTGTGTAAATAAGATCAACACGTATCAACTAAATAAAATTTGATGATAAAAATTGCCAAGTGCCTGAAAATAAATACAATAATAATTTGTGTTTGAATTACTACTAATAACTACTAGCATGGTTTCAAAGTACCAGAAATTATATTTTTCATATCTGATTTCCAACTTGTCTTTTACAGCTTGCATTGTCTTTAAATAAAGCTTGGAGATCCCTGTTATATTGTCTGTACTATTTCATCTGAGAGAAACTTGATATAAGCAGGATTAAAGTATATTTTCTGATTTATAATGAATAAATTCCTATGCCATAATAAAGTGTATTTAGAAATAATATATGCTATTTTTATAATTATTCATATTGATGCTGTGAAAGACAAATTATCAATACTATTNTAGTGATCTGTAAGTCCTGGGTGTAGGAGTATTGACTTTCAGTGAAGTAAGGATGCTTCTGGACTTGAGTTTGCTGGTGCTCCATTTGGTTAGGAAGACCCATGGATTTTTAGAGGCCTGAGAGCAGTAGTCCCTCCAAGAAGAGAGCTTGCTTCCTTGATAGTATTTTTGTACTTGAGTTGATGCTCCAGATTTACAGACACTAGCAAATTTTTTGGGTTTGGTTGAGGAATAGTAGAAAAGATAATAGATTTAACAAAGACAGAGTTAGACTAGCAAAGTCATGCAGCAAAATTGAATAATGTGGAATATAAAGAATGTCTTGAAAAACTTTTTTTCCTATAAAAAATGTAAATAATTACAAAATGTTTGTATTCAATAGTAATGATAAAATAAAATGAAAAACAGTTGTGCATTTTATAGTTTTTGATTTTGTCCTGCATGATACCTTACTAAAACTTATTTTAAATAATAATAATGTATCAAAGATAAATAGGTGATTCTAATGTATTATTTCCAATGAAGTAGTTGTTAGATAATGTTCTGCATCTGAGTTAGAGTTCTACCAAATAAGTGAGCTATAGCTTGGCTCACAGCTCACTTGTCGAAATCTCATCTCAGCTTGATATTTCTAAATAACTTGAGCTGATTTTCTCCAAACTCTAATTTGAGTTAGTTAGATAATATGATCTAAAAGATCATATTATCTAAAAGATCATATTATCTAACTATTTTGTACTAACATGTTTGCAACAGAAAATTCTATTATATACCGTTAGGTTTGGTGTGTTTAAAATTAGTTTTACAGTAGTAGTGAATTATTTATGGGGATAAATATTAATAGAGTATTAACTTCTAGATGCCATCTGTCAGAGAGCAATTTTGAATATTCCACAGAGGTCTAGAAAATTCCAGAAACTTTTGTATCAGCCCAATATAAAATTAATTTCCAAATTATTTAGACAATGAAACTATTTTTAATTTCTTTTACAAAATATTTTTTCTTCCTCTTTTCATCTTATTTAACTATTAAGGAATTTGACAGGAGGTAGCAGTTAGGCTGCTAACTCTTGTTAACTTGAACAATTGTAAATAAATTTCATTAATTAATTAATTAATAATAAATTAATATATTTACTTACAAATTTATTTATTTACAAATACTTAATCTTTTTCTCTCTCAATCTTATTTACAGTATATATATATATATATTACACAGTACTGTACATCCCCAATACCACAGGTCACTATTGGGGGTGATACTGTTATACAGTATAAGATGTAATGGGTTATGTAACATTTACTTCACACAAATAAGTATTTGTGAGAATCTCATTTACAGAGTATCTGTACATACCTCGTAATTACTGGTAATCATTTTAACTATATACTGTATTATTACAATGGAGGGAAAAGCTTTACAATTAGTCGTTTACGTTAATATGTTCCTTACACGAACAAATATATATATACAATGTTGCAAACTTGTGGACAGAGATAAGTGCTATACTGTGGTATGTACTATACATTGAACACCAGAATAATTGGCAGGTTGGTTGAAAGAGTTGCAGAACCAGTTAATTAAGGGCTTTGGGTAGTCCTACTATTGGAAGACAACTCTTGGTGGCAAGTAGTAGCCATGTACAGGTGTCAGCCTTTGGTACATGATTACCTGTTGGTACTGTACATATATACAGTACTTCACCAGGTATTATGTATATATGTACAGTACCTCACCTCATATTCTTGTTATTCACAAGAGAGTTTTGGCTGCAGGGCCAAGTGCCTTTCTCCCCCAAAGTGATAGCTTCCAGGCTCTCATTCCTTCTGAAGCATGAGGCAGTGAAAGATATAGTGCTCACTCCCATCCAATTTTCCATAGATGGTGCAGAGGCCACAATCCTAGTATCCAAACCTCTTTAAGTAACAGTTGAATTGGCTATGGCTCATCAGAAACTGCATGAGGTTATGGTTAGGAGTGAACCAGCTGTAGGTGCAGTCTTTGATATTTGGAAAAAGACATATGTAACGTCATTGTGTGTATGTTCCCAAGCAGACTGCCACTCTGTGCACACTTCTTCCCATAGTGAATTGTTTACATAAGATATCTGCTTTTTGTTGTATAAAATTGCTGTATTTTTATTTTGGTCTCAGTTTTAGTAAGTCTGTCAGTGCGTTAGTTACTGATGTTTTCCTGATGAGCTCTGGTCCAAGTGAGCGAGTACTTGTTGGTTGTATGTTGCAAGATTTTGTAAATCTTGTTAATCATGGGATGGTTGTTGTTGTTTTTAGTGATGTTGATAGCCGTCATGCTGTTGGTAATTATGTGGATGCTCTTATGCATGTAGTTCATTAAGCTCCAGTTGACAAGCCTCTGCAATAGCAAGTAGCTTGGCTTGTACTTCGCTGCAGTTATCAACTAGTTTATGCTGTTCGAAATACACCTCTTTGCCATCTATGAAAATGACATAGCCATCAGTGTAGATATTTATTGCTTTCTCAGGAAAGTTATTTGAGAAGTATTTCTTGTTTTATGGGCTTGCATATTCTGCATATGTAATGTTCAACTTAATGTCATTAGTGGTAGTCTTATTATTAATTACAATTTTCTTGTTGTTCTTTATCCTCCATTTCTTGACCAATAATAATTGTGAAGGTCTAAGGGTGGTTTCTGGGCAATAATTTGCAAGCTACTGGTGGGCTGATGTAAACCTTAGTGATGTACATAAGTGCTCTCTGCTGGGCCACCAATAGCTTGTGCCTGTTATGTGCTACATAGATGACATGATCCCAACTGCACAAGCATTTGTAATAATTGGGATGAAGATCATGGGAATCCTTTTATATAGATGTGACTTTCTAGGTTTGCTGAAGGTGATTCCCTGTGTTTTGTGTTTTGTTTGGATTGAAATCGAGCTTGTAGTGTTTACCCCATGAGTGATCTTGCAGTGTATTTGTGCTCTTTTCCTCCAGCTCTGTCTTAATCCTCCCACCTATAAGTAACAGGGCATCATCTGCATGGGTGATGGTGCAGTTTTGTCCAAAGTCCTGTTTTAAGAACTGGTTGAAAAGCCAGTTTCATAGGAGGGCACATGTTAAGTCTTGAGGACAGCCCCTACAGACCTCCTCAAACTGTAGATCTCTTGTATGTATTATTGCTTTCCTATTGGATAGGTAGTCCCAGATAATGTAATAAAAGTTGGCTAGGCAGTTAGTGTTCTTGAGTTGGTGCAGAATTAAGGCCACCAGGCACCATCAAATGCTTTTTGGACTAATGCTCAGAACATACTTGTGCCTGGTGAACAGATTCTTAATGTTGGTAACTGCACAGTGAATAGTGCTGAAGGTGGATTGTTGTCTCCTGAAGCCAAACTGTTATTGGTGTAAGTAGTAGTTATTCTCCATAAGCCAGTTGATCCTCTTTATTATTAGTCTTTCCAATATTTTCCTTAGAACTGGGAGTAGAAAAATAAGTCTTGCTTCTGTGGGATTTCTGGGTTTGGGGATTGGGACTATCTTTTTTTCTTTCAGGCATCTGGGAAAACACCTCATTTGATGCATTCGTTGTATATTTTCAGTATTAGGTCAGGATTATAGTACCATATCTGCTGGGCTAGCTCAGAAGTAATGTTGTAAAGCCCAGGAGCTCTCTTTTTGGTTGATGTTTCTGGTCATCTCATTTACCTCATCAAATTGAGTGGGCTGTCTTTGGAACTAATTGGTAGAGTGATAGTTTTCTTGATATTCCTATGCCATTGATTATCTACACTCGTCCTTACAACATATACTCGTCCTTACAGCAGTATATTTGAAGTATGCTGCTATAGTGATCTGTAAGTCCTGGGTGTAGGAGTATTGACTTTCAGTGAAGTAAGGATGCTTCTGGACTTGAGTTTGCTGGTGCTCCATTTGGTTAGGAAGACCCATGGATTTTTAGAGGCCTGAGAGCAGTAGTCCCTCCAAGAAGAGAGCTTGCTTCCTTGATAGTATTTTTGTACTTGAGTTGATGCTCCAGATTTACAGACACTAGCAAATTTTTTGGGTTTGGTTGAGGAATAGTAGAAAAGATAATAGATTTAACAAAGACAGAGTTAGACTAGCAAAGTCATGCAGCAAAATTGAATAATGTGGAATATAAAGAATGTCTTGAAAAACTTTTTTTCCTATAAAAAATGTAAATAATTACAAAATGTTTGTATTCAATAGTAATGATAAAATAAAATTTTGATAAGTACTCTTAGTATTTATAAAGTATTTTATTTAGTTAGATTTTATTTTAATGTAAAATATTTTAATTACTGCTTTAAAGGTATCTATAGTGATCTATTGTGGTAATTTACTGTTTAAAATTCATAAATATTTTTTTAAAAAAAAAGGTTATTTTACAAAGTATATTATTTCCTGTAATTAGTTTATTATAATCTTTTTAAGGACTTAGAATTAAAGAAACTAAAGAAGTATATGAAGGAGAAGTTTCAGAATTAACACCCTGTGAAACTGAAAATCCTATGGGAGGTATGTTAATCTTTTAAGCTAAAAAAAAAAAAAAACAAAAACAATAATTTTGTGAAAATGTGCAAAGTGCCCCCTATGCTTCTGCACCACTTGATCAAAGGGTTGGCACCAGATCTGTGATGCCACATCAAGATTCTGACACCACTGTATCTTCAGGTGGATACAGAAACTGTTTGTTAAATATGAGCATACGTGTTTTTGTGTCCTTGCAAGTGGTCGCATTTGTTGGCGGTCAGATTCAAGATGGAGGAGACCATTTACTTGAAAGAAGTGCACTCTACAACTTATTTAGCAAAATTAATACTTGTTTATTGATTTATATATATATACAGTAGAGCATCAATTATCCGACTCAATTGGGGACTCAGGTTGGTCGGATAACTGAAAAGAAGGGAAAAAATACATTATTAGTATAGTATATTAGGATATTAGTATATCCCATGTAATTAGTTTATTAATATATCGCTATTAACCAACTTCGCGTTGAATTTTCATCGATGTTTAGCCTAACAAATTTTTAAAAAAATAATAAACGTCGCTATTGTATCGTTAAAAATTATTTTAAAATTATTTTATTGCTCACAAAACAAACAACCACTCATAATTAGAAAATTAAACCTCGTTTAAATACTGACCTGCCTTTCATGGTTGAGCGATGTTGCTAGCTAAAACATACAAAAATTTAACAAAAATAATATTAAAGTAGCCAAGACATAGCCAAATATTGTAATGCCACATCACTAGCGGACATTTGAAATTTGCTGACTAGAATGGTCGGTTAACCAATGTGATGGTTAATCGGGGATCAGATAATCGATGCTTTACTGTATATATATATACATAGGATAAGTATATTAGAAAAGTTGTTTGACTGATCTTATTGTGTCCACCACAAGCGAGAGTTTACAAGTGATTGCATGTTGGTATTTACCTGAAGTTGTAGGCCCTTTGTTGCAATTTTAAGAGGAGGGTGTTTCCACTTGGCAGATAGGATTTCACTAGGATTTAGTCCCTGGAGATAATCAGCAGTAATGATTTTTATGGGCAGTGTATATCCAAGACTCGAGTGAACACTTGTTGATGACAGACTCTCTATGACAACAGGCTCCTTCACTTTTATTTGGGGTCCTTTCCTGTTAAGTTCTATGTCCATTTTTGGTAATGAAGGTTAGTTAAACCAATAGCGATTTTTTGATGTTATGTTCCTGATAAAGTCAAAAGTGATGCAGTCAGATGTGTCATCTCTGGACAAGGGAGCAAGTCTGTGGTAAAATGGAACCACTTCCTGCTGTTGTGGTTAAGAGTTAAAATTTTAGCAAAATTGTTTAAGTAAATTGAGTATATTTTTTCTATTTAGCCCAGGTTCTCACAATTATACAATGCATTGTTGATGTTTTTTTTTTTATTAATAATAAAAAAAATTTTGATAATGAAACTACTTTTGATATTTAATGTATTGACTGCCAAATATTTGAATTAAACTTAGCTGTAGTTCTGTTATTGGCCTATTTTGCATTTCAGTTTTTTATTGCTCCATTCCATCTCTGCTCTGGCATTAAAATGCTTGCTCCATTCTCACTGTATCCTCTAAGGAAATACTTTTTAAAATAAATACTTAAATTAAAAAACAATTTTTATCTTGTAAAACATAATCATATCTTTAGCACTAGCAACAGGTATGTTTGTGGCAAATAGATGTAAATAATAGGTAGTGGTCATCTGAAATAAGACTGAAAGTAAGCTAAGGCAGAGAGCAGAAAAATATTTCTGGGAAATATTACTGCAAATCAATGCAGTTAATTCAAAGACTTGCATGCTTTATTCATTTATACTGATATGTCATTCAAATTGATAATTAACATTTTTAATTTGCAAATGCTAATAGATTCTCAGCTGATGGTTTCAAATTCAAAAATATATTTGCCTGATCTCTACAGAAGTTTAGTCTCTGCGTATCACATTGAGAAACTCTTATTTATATTATTTATTAACAGAAAAATAATACAAAATAATTAAAACAATGTCATTTAAATTCATGAAAGTAGTGTGATTTATTGATGATATTTTTTGAAACATTTTTCCACATAAAGAGCTGGCTTCTTTTGGTATACTAGACAATAATAGCTTGTTTTTTGGCATTTTTATTTTTTAAAGTAGATTTACAGGCAATGTAGCTAATTTGTAAGACAATAATTACCTCTCTTAAAATTAAGTTTAAAACAATTCCCAATAAAAAAATATTAAATCAAGCAATGAAACAAAGGAAAAATAATGAGTAATTATAAAGTAGTTTTTTATAATATAGTTTATACTTNTAATAATAATCCTCAGTTTGAGGATAATAATTCAGTGTAATACTTCATTACATTTGCCATATAGGGAGACAAACCAAAATAGCAATATATCAGATGGTACAATATAATCTATATATCCATTGGCTAAAGTGGTTTTATATTTGGAAGACAAAAAAATAAGGCTATATATCTGAATGAGCAATGTCATGAGAAGCTGCTGTAATAATAATTATTCTCAAATTAAACAATAACTATATGAAACAGTTGAATATACAATGTAACAAAAAGAAATTAATTAATTCAAAAATAAGTATAATTAAAAAAATAGCAAAAAATTATTTATCATATGATAATCTTTAAAATTATTGAATTAATAAATTATTTGAGGGATAAAGTCTTTCTTATTTCTAAGCAAAATAATAAACTGATTTCATGCTGGAAATATTAAGCTTTATTATAATAATATAACAACTGTTTATGTTAAATCCAATTTAAGAAAATTTTCCTGTTAGAATTTTATTTATTTTAGTTTATTGATTTTCTGTAATTTTTAATGAGTATTAAATATATTTTTTGTACTTTTAGAGACAAGGAAGATCAGATGTCTATGCAACTGAATTTGATTTAGAAGTAAGATCTTTTTTAAAAAAATTATTAAAATTAATTAATTTAAAAAATTAAATTATTTCAAGACCAAAGATAATTTATTATTAATTCCATTAAATTTAAGGCTGAAGAATATGTTCCATTACCAAAAGGAGATGTTCATAAGAAGAAAGAAGTTATTCAAGATGTTACATTACATGATTTGGATGTTGCAAATGCTCGTCCACAAGGAGGACAAGATATTTTATCTATGATGGGCCAGTTAATGAAACCTAGAAAAACTGAAATTACAGGTATAAAACTATTACATATTTTAACAATAATTCTGTTAAATTATTATGATTGTGAAATTAGCTTAAATATTTGTTTATTTAATAAATGTTGAATAATTAAGTTAGCTAAAGACAGAGTTTACATCATTAAAATAAAACAGAGAGCATATCTAGCTTTTGCTTTATCTACACCAAAAATTTCATCTAAAAAATATTATAATGTAGTATTTACAGGTACAGTAGAGTCCTGCTAATCCAAACTAATTGGGACCTAGCCCTGTTTGGATTAGCCAAATAATTGAAATAATGCAGAAGCAAGCAGTAAAACAGGTCCAGTTTTTATAGATCCAACAACATCAATGACTTTTGTTTCTGTTTTTGTGTGTAAGTATTGTATAGAACTTCTGTTTTAATAGGCCATGTCAAACACTGATTTATTAATTTTGTACAGTATTAATATAAGATTTCTTTTTATATTTTAGGCCTAATGGTTGTTTAGTGTGCATAGTAGTTTTTTATATAATTTTGTAGTTTTTAAAAAAATATACGTTTTGTATTTTGGACAACTTGTTTCATTATAGGAATTTAATCTGGTGGTCCAGAGGGAAACTAGCAAATCATAATTTTTAACTCTGCATAAATAATGTTCTGAATAGAAGCTTATGTTTTGGAAAATATTTAAGTTCAGTCAGCTTCTAATAGGGACAAAATGGTATTTATTACAAATTTGACTGAAGAATAAATGTTTTTCATTTTTGGCTTTTTTGACTTGTGAGCATTAAGAGAGCCCTTTTTTTCTTAATCATACCGACTAACCTAACATTGGGGGTAGCCAAGTGTTGAGGATCAGGATCTGACATATCTAGGACTGACCGCCTATGGAAAATTCTTGGAGATTTACTTCCTGGATTTAATTTCAGATTTCCAGAATAGTAGACCAATGCCTTAATCACTCAGCTATCTGGCAATCCTGATAAATAAGTATTATAAATTAACTATTTCAAACAATATCATGTCTAACTGAGAATGGTGCCAGGGAGTATTTAATCTAATGACACAGTGGCAGTCAATATATTAAAAAAAGAAATTATTTGAAAATAAAATTAAGTTAAATATTTACTATTTCATATAAAACCTTTAATTTGTATTTATTCTCTATAGGCTATGGTAAAACTGTAAGTCACATAATAATTGGACTGAAGACAGCTAAAGGAACAAAGCAACTCAAACTTGATCCTACAATCTATGAAAGTTTACAAAGAGAAAAAGTAGAAGTGGGTGATGTTATTTACATTGAAGCTAACAGTGGTGCAGTAAAAGTAAGATACTTTTCTATTCATATTTAGTGATTTATTCTTTCTTGGCTACTAATTTTTTTTATTGTAAATTACCATCACATTTTAATAAAGTTTAAGGAGTCAAATTTATGTTTTGGTTAAATATTTTTTGATGTAATTTGTCTCATCATCAAATTAGATCTTAAGAACATTCTTAGTGAAGAATATACACTAATAATAATCCTCAGTTTGAGGATAATAATTCAGTGTAATACTTCATTACATTTGCCATATAGGGAGACAAACCAAAATAGCAATATATCAGATGGTACAATATAATCTATATATCCATTGGCTAAAGTGGTTTTATATTTGGAAGACAAAAAAATAAGGCTATATATCTGAATGAGCAATGTCATGAGAAGCTGCTGTAATAATAATTATTCTCAAATTAAACAATAACTATATGAAACAGTTGAATATACAATGTAACAAAAAGAAATTAATTAATTCAAAAATAAGTATAATTAAAAAAATAGCAAAAAATTATTTATCATATGATAATCTTTAAAATTATTGAATTAATAAATTATTTGAGGGATAAAGTCTTTCTTATTTCTAAGCAAAATAATAAACTGATTTCATGCTGGAAATATTAAGCTTTATTATAATAATATAACAACTGTTTATGTTAAATCCAATTTAAGAAAATTTTCCTGTTAGAATTTTATTTATTTTAGTTTATTGATTTTCTGTAATTTTTAATGAGTATTAAATATATTTTTTGTACTTTTAGAGACAAGGAAGATCAGATGTCTATGCAACTGAATTTGATTTAGAAGTAAGATCTTTTTTAAAAAAATTATTAAAATTAATTAATTTAAAAAATTAAATTATTTCAAGACCAAAGATAATTTATTATTAATTCCATTAAATTTAAGGCTGAAGAATATGTTCCATTACCAAAAGGAGATGTTCATAAGAAGAAAGAAGTTATTCAAGATGTTACATTACATGATTTGGATGTTGCAAATGCTCGTCCACAAGGAGGACAAGATATTTTATCTATGATGGGCCAGTTAATGAAACCTAGAAAAACTGAAATTACAGGTATAAAACTATTACATATTTTAACAATAATTCTGTTAAATTATTATGATTGTGAAATTAGCTTAAATATTTGTTTATTTAATAAATGTTGAATAATTAAGTTAGCTAAAGACAGAGTTTACATCATTAAAATAAAACAGAGAGCATATCTAGCTTTTGCTTTATCTACACCAAAAATTTCATCTAAAAAATATTATAATGTAGTATTTACAGGTACAGTAGAGTCCTGCTAATCCAAACTAATTGGGACCTAGCCCTGTTTGGATTAGCCAAATAATTGAAATAATGCAGAAGCAAGCAGTAAAACAGGTCCAGTTTTTATAGATCCAACAACATCAATGACTTTTGTTTCTGTTTTTGTGTGTAAGTATTGTATAGAACTTCTGTTTTAATAGGCCATGTCAAACACTGATTTATTAATTTTGTACAGTATTAATATAATAGTAAAATAAAATACAATTTTTTGTTGTGGAATTCTAAATCTTTTTGTACCATTAATACCATTTAAATTCAACTGGAAAATACAAAAAANTTTTGTGAGCTAAAAAATTACCTCTCTGCCTACTGAAACGTGTTCAGACTAGTGGGACTCTACTGTATTTAGAAGTATTTAATAAAAAATAAAAATGTCAATCTTAATTAGCAAATTAAATGTTTGATTAAATAAATTGTGATCAAAATCTCAAAATTTTTTAATATAAAATGTTGTTTTTAAATATATTTCAAAACACAATTTATTAAGTATTTTTATTTATTTATAGATAAACTAAGAAAAGAAATCAATAAGGTTGTAAATAAATACATTGATCAAGGTATTGCTGAACTGGTACCAGGTGTACTTTTTATTGATGAAGTGCATATGTTGGATATTGAGTGTTTCACTTATCTTCATAGAGCATTGGAATCTTCAATTGCACCTATTGTAATTTTTGCTACTAATCGTGGAAGATGTACAATTAGGTAAAATATCACAGTTATAAATTGTTAAAGTATTTTAACAAAAATGAAAACTTATATTAAATATTTTGGTGTTTATTTAACTGGTTTGGTTTACTGGTNAATAAATCTTGATATTTAAAGAAAATTAAGTAATAGAAATTGATCATTTAATCAGTTAAATATAGGACTTACATTTTGTTTCTAAATTAATTTCCTAAATCTAATTAATGGCCTTTTAGGTTAAAATAGTAAACAATATTATTAATACTAAAATAAAATTTTAAAATATTTTATGTTTAATGTTAAAATAAAAACTGAAGAAATTTTGCTAATTACAGAGGAACAGATATTTTATCTCCTCACGGAATTCCTTTAGATCTTTTGGATCGTCTCATGATCATTCGTACATTGCCTTATTCTCAGGAAGAAATGGTTCAGGTATTAATCATTAGTTTAAAATAAAAGTTTTTTTAATTAACTTTGCAAAATTGTACAAATAATTTATATAAAATATTTTTAGTAATATACATTTATATTAATTTTATACTGCTTTATTTGATTTAATTTATTTCATTAAAATGATGTAATCATACAATGATAATTTATTATATTATTGATAAATTCCATTATTGGATTAATTGGTGTTAATCAAATTTGAACAAATATGTTAAAAATAAAACTTAGAAATTTATATTTCTAACTGTTTGTATTTTTTTAGTTTAATTCTACAAGTTAATCTAGTTTAACTAGTTAATTAAGTTAACAGGAGAATATATAAAGTTTTAATTAATTAAAGACTGAATTTTTTCATCATTCTGATAATTTCCTTAGTTAATATTTTCCATGACTATTGTCTTGAAAAATGTTAACTAATCATATTATAATACAAAGATGAAATAATTATTCAATGATGCTTATAAATTTTGTAAGATTATTTATTTAGCTTGTTAATTAATTGTTACATTTAAGTAATTTTAAAAATATATTTTGTCATTAAGTGATTATAAAAAAATGATAAAAAGTCCCAGATTTATTATAACTGGGAATTTATTCAGATTTACATAAGTGATTGGAAAAACATATTTTTAAATATATTTTGAAATATAAAAGCATTTTAGCTCTAAAAATATGAGAAAATAACTTTGTTAATTAAAGATGATAAAGCTATTTGAGTTTCTTCTTTCTTTAGTATAAGTAGATTTATTAGAATTCTGCTTGTTTAATAGAAAAAGAAATGGTAGATGCTTGAAAAAACACCAGTATACCAAACCAGTTAAACAAACACCAAAAATACTTAATATAATGAATGTCTTTGTATCAGTTAGACATCCTGCCTATAAAATGCAATAAAAAGATACTGATTTGGCATGTTTAAAATACTCCGAGACTAGAAATTTATAGGGCCATGAAAAATCAGACAGTCCTCAGCTTCAGAGAATCATATATTCTGTCAATAGCATGGAGAGCATGGTTTGAGCAGCTATAGTAAATCATTTCATGTATTCTCTTAAGAATATTTTGATTAATAAACTTATTTTATTAATTATGTAATGCTTATTACTTATTTTTCTATATGATATAACATTCTGTGTATAGTGTGCATGACCAAATCTCAGTCATTTAAAAATTTAATGTGATTTCCCTTATTTGACTTGGTAATCTTTTCTTTAATTAATTAATATTAGGCTTATGTAACCTGAGGTTGTCTGATTGATACAGATGAAAATGTTTGTTATATTAAATATTTTTGGTGTTTATTTAACTGGTTTGGTTTACTGGTGTGGTTTTAGATAATATATACCAGTTCTTGTGGTGTTTAATACAATGGATGTCTCTACAATTATGAAAGACCTTAGCTTAAATTAGCCATAGATAATTTTAAAAAACATTTAATACATACACATATAGAACTACAAATTTAGCTTATTGTAATTTACTGAAGAGATTTCTCTTATGTCCTTTGAACTGTAGATATTTTAAATTGCTTTTAGGAAAACATTTTGGAGAAAATTTATATTTTTAAAAATTAACATAAAACAAGAAATAAACTACAGTATATTCAATAAATTCAACTGTTATAAATCAGCAGAACAAATTTAAACTTTGAAGAATGATCTTTCAAATCTACTTCAAAAATATATTAATTTTTAATATATTTTAAAAATAAATAAATTTTTTTTGTTATTATATTTCTGAAGAACAGTTTTTCATATTATATTGATGTAAACGTTATACCGAGTCTTTCAACAAGAGGTGTCATTTTAAATTTTGTGCCATTTTTCAACTGTCATTGTGGTAACATTTGACAAGTAAAAACTAGGAGATTTTCAAATATGGATCAATATACAGTCTCACAATGCATTGAAATAGTGAAAATTCGCTACAAAAATGGTGAAAATATCGCAAAGATGATTTGTAAAGTTCATACTACTATTGGTTATGATCAAGTGCCTTGCACAGCTATAGTGAATTTAATCAATAAATTTGAACGTCTCAGACAAGTTAGTGATGTGAAGACTCCAACTCGTGCTAGTCTGGCCAGGTCATCTGGAAATACACTGTTGCAGCTGAGAGTGTGGCCGAAAACCGAGTTGACTGACTGAGTTGAAATGATGTTGACTGAATTTTTTTGGCCTAAAATTGATGCTATGGATGCAGACAACATTTATTTTCAACAGGACGGTGCCACCTGCTACACACTTTGTGAAACAATGGCTCTATTGCATGAAAAATTTCCTGGACATGTGATTTCTCAAAATGGAGACTTTAGTTGGTTGCCAAGATCAAGCAATTTAACACCATTAGACTTTTTATTTGGGGCTACATTAAAGGTAAAGTCTACACCAATGCTCCAGCAATGATTCAAGCACTCAAAGACAATATTACAGCTGCTATTGGTGAAATACAGCCGCTATTATGCGAACATGTGATGAAAAATTTTATCAAAAGAATGACCATTAGTAAGAAGAGCTGAGGTGGACATTTGGCAGATATTATGTTCCATTACTAACCTCAGAGTTTGTACTTTGAATTAAAATAAAAATATCACCGCTTTTCACAAAAATATTACATTTTTCTGTTGATTTAAAATGACACCTCTTGTTGAAAGATCCTATATTTAATCAGAAAGCTTTCATTGTAGTATTTATGTAAAATTGGATTTATTTCATATTTATTGGATTAGCTTCTAATGCAAGTAATTCTTGAAACTAAAATGTTAAGCAAACTCTACACAATGTTATCTCGGCAGATAAGACGACCTTCAGATAAGACAAGGTATAAATTTTCGTCAAAGTTTTATAGTTTTAGCATATATCTGTCCTATAAGACAACCCCCAAACTATCAAAGGCCTATGAATTTAGTTTAGATCAGTGATCATCATCTGAATAATAATTCTGTATAGTGTATACGGAATTATGTTTTATTTGTAATTTTTTGAATGAACAAATTTTATTTTCTTGCATCTGGCAGCACTGCCTTGCGATTGTTGCCACTGATTTGGCATTTGGGTAATGATCTTGACTATTCACAAAAACCTTGTATGAGCTATTCTATTTTGTGCACATACCCTACTCTCTTCTAGTAAATAATTACGATTTGTCTGCCTTTTTATAATTGTTTTAATTTACAGTATATAAATTTCAATCTAATGTTTTTTTTGTATCTGTCCTATAAGACGACTCCGGATTTTGGGGGTCTTTTTTTATGATTCAACTATCGTCTTATCTGCTGAGATATACGGTAATTATTTGAATGAATATTTTGATTACTTCTCAAAATATATTATTAATTAGAAGAATTAATTCATAAGACTTATGTATTTTCAATTAACAGACTAGTATTATACTATACTTAGATATATTTATAATTTTTTAAAAATAGATACTTAAAATTAGAGCACAAACAGAAGGAATAGAAATTGATGAAGATTCTTTACAAGCTCTTGGAGAAATAGGAAGCAAAACTACTCTCAGGTAAAATCTTTTTACTGTAACTTTGTATATTAAGTTTCTAATAGTTTATTTATTTATGAAAGTTATTCTGTAGATTAGAAAGTTATATAATTTTCCCTTAATGAGATGGGAAAATTATATAACAATACAGGTATACCTTGGGTTACATCATTTCGAGTTAAGTCATTCTCGGTTATATGTCATTTGTCAAAAAAAATATATGGAAAAATAAAAATCAAGTTTAAAGTCATTTTATTCAACTTTACATCTGTCTGCCACAAATATTGAAGCTGTAATATCACTAGAAAAGTGACGTCACAAGAAAAGTGTTAAAAACACATAAAATCATATTAAAATACATACATTTACAGTAAATGTTAATATAATCATCATAAATCCCAGAGAACAAAATATGAAAACATCTGTGACTGTGTTGTCGTCTTATCTAGCGGTCTTTAAGAGCTCAGTATTGGCATTTTCCATGGTAGTTCCAATATCTACTGTTTGGCGTCGTAGTCAGCACCACTCGATACTAGTAAATTTAGCATAAATTAGTTTATTTTCTAGTATCACAAAATGATTTTAATAACTGTATTTGTTATTTAACCTTACAAAATCATCTTATTTTATAATGTCTTAGAGCAAACCACATTCACAAATAAAGAGTCCGTGATGTACTGTAAACATTGCCAAATTGTAAACATGTATATTTACAAGTATATACGTACAGTACATGCATTTGTAAATTTAGATTACTTTTTTTCTGTACTATATTAAAAACTAAAATTTATTTGTTTGTAAGATTAAAATAGATTCTTATAAACCCTATATTAATGAAAATGCATTTATAAATAAAATACAGAACTGGAAATCTTATTTGTGGTTTAGTCTAGTGACATATAAATTCGACTTAAGTTGCATCTCCTGGAACAAATTACTGGTGAGGTATACCTGTATAAGTAATATACAAATATTAATTAATTCATTAATGCCAATGATTAAAATGGATATTTAATGGGCTATGATTTTATGAAACTGCAATAGTAATTATAAGATTACAGTTTTTACAGTAAATTTTGTTACTTTATCAACAAATTGCTGAACTATTTGTTACATATCTAAGTAGATTGCACTCTAGCTATTCTGAATTCCACTTAATTCAATTAAATTTTGTTCACAGAAAAAACGGAAACATGTTTTATTTGCGTACAGAAAATAAGTGTAATGAATTAAAAACGTTTTCAACCTCTGTTTATAGATCTTCTTCAGTTACAAAATAGTTATATATAATATATATATATATAATCATTTGCTAAATTTTGTTCACTTCTTGCTAAATGTTTAAATTAAAAAACAAAAAGTTATCCTAGATTATATTTTAATGTGATAAAATTGTAAAATTAATATATACTGTACATTTTAACATAAACATACATATTAAATATAGTATAAAAATATTTTAAGTATATGTATGTGTCTGTAATTTTTTTTTTTTTTTGTTACTTCCTTTATGTATATAATCCTTCTAATTCAAACATTCCAGTATAACAATTGTTCAGATTAATGAGAGTACACTGTATTATAATTTATTTTATATTTTTTTTAATAAGTAATGAACTATTATTAACAGAGTTTTCTTAATTCATTCATTAAAGTACTGTGTATGTAATGTCTGTATTAGAAGGTAAATGAGGTAAAATATTTTTATTGAGAGATTGACAGTAAAAATAGTTGAGAATTATTATTCTGCATGAGGGTAATGGAGAAAATTCATATTTTTTTCATCAAACTGTGTTAAATTCTCTACACAGTGCCTAATCAATGAGCATATGCTTAAATATGTTATGTGGTTTTTATGATGTCTGAAGAACAGTTTTTCATATTATATTGATGTAAACATTATACCGAGTCTTTCAACAAGAGGTGTCATTTTAAATTTTGTGCCATTTTTCAACTGTCATTGTGGTAACATTTGACAAGTAAAAACTAGGAGATTTTCANTTTTAAGTATATGTATGTGTCTGTAATTTTTTTTTTTTTTTGTTACTTCCTTTATGTATATAATCCTTCTAATTCAAACATTCCAGTATAACAATTGTTCAGATTAATGAGAGTACACTGTATTATAATTTATTTTATATTTTTTTTAATAAGTAATGAACTATTATTAACAGAGTTTTCTTAATTCATTCATTAAAGTACTGTGTATGTAATGTCTGTATTAGAAGGTAAATGAGGTAAAATATTTTTATTGAGAGATTGACAGTAAAAATAGTTGAGAATTATTATTCTGCATGAGGGTAATGGAGAAAATTCATATTTTTTTCATCAAACTGTGTTAAATTCTCTACACAGTGCCTAATCAATGAGCATATGCTTAAATATGTTATGTGGTTTTTATGATGATGAAAAAGTTTTTATTTATAATTTTAATAAAAATATTTTTGATAATTTGCTTGAAAAGTTTTGTTATGAAAATAATTCAGAGCTTTTTTTCTTATTGGATTACTTTATTATAACACAATATCTGTGTTTTAATATAGTGAATTTTAGTTAATTGGGTCTAGCATACTTTGGCCTAAGTGACTGTTCCAATTATGCAAAGTTTACAAAAAGTATAAAAATATAAAACAAAATTCAAACTATAATAACAACAAATTACATCAATCTTTGAACAATTGGTATAGTTCAGAAACACAAGGCCTACACTCATTTTACTTACATCTTATGGAAGAATTAGATCATAAGACCGTTGTCAGCATCATCAGTACAGTATTTCCATGACTGTTACAGAAGACTATGGATGAAACAGGTTTTCTGACCAATGTCTTCTACACAGACAAGACAGAATTTACAAGAGATGGAGTTTTGAATAAACACAATCTGAATTTTTGATCAGCAGAAAATCCTTATGTAACACAATCCATATCATTCCAGCACCAATTCACTGTCAATGTTTTGGCAGGTATCATAGGGAATAGTTTAGTAGAAATATAATAGAAAAACAGAATTGGATGTTCCAAATAACTGGATTTTCTTAAATGAATGCTAACTAATTTTTTAGCTGTTATGATAAAAACACACTGAATGTGGTATAAATTTAATGACTGTATAGCACATTTCACATACATGGTATGCCAGTAATTCGACCAGTATTTGTCAGTAAAATGAGTTGGAAGAGTGGTCCTATGTCATGACCTGTATTCTGTCCGGATTTTATGTTATGGGACATTTTTCTTTGGGGTTGTGTGAAGGAAGAAGTGCACAGTAATGAGATAGAAAACAAAAAATAATGCCTCCCCTTTATCTCCTGTCTAGTTGATCTGATTTTTTGAAACACTTGTAAGCTTTATAAATTTATAAATACAAGCTTAAATAAAAATTTAGTTATTTATTTCACAATTGCTTAAATTTGTTGGAGCATTTAAGTTTCAGAAATATTTTCAGTAGTCAAAAATCTTTCATTAAATGAAGAAAGTTTATGAGGAAATTTCAATTAAAGTTTTTTTAAAAGGTGTCAATCTATGTTTTCTGTAATAAAGATTATTATTCCTAGTTCTAAATGAAAATATGCATTTCAATATTTAGCTAGTACAATAGCCAAATAATAAACTGAATTATTAATTAATTTATCATTTATGTCTGTCTGTTTTACAAATGAATAAAAACTACTACTTATTTGAGAAAATACATTAAAACAATATTTTTATTTCTTTTAGGTATGCTGTTCAGTTATTAAGTCCTGCCAACATATTATCAAAAGTAAATGGCCGTACATCAATCAAAAAAGAGGACATCAAAGAAATAAGTGAAGTGTTTCACGATGCCAAATCTTCTGCTAGGTTACTTGCTGAACAGGACGACAAGTACATGAAATAGAAGAATAAATAAATATTTTCATAATTTACTCTATTGTTATTTTAGTTGTATAATTTCATAGTTATTTGCAAAGTTGTTTCATGAAATATTTTATTTCACTCGTGAGAGAGAAAAGTGAATGTTTTTATTGCACTGCATTCAGTGTTATTCTCTTGTAAATTATACATAAAATAAAAATTATATATAGAAAATTACTTTATTAATGTTGAAAGTAGTTTTAATTTTTTTTATAAATTTCTAATAAAAAATTTGCGAAACTTACTGATATTTACTTTTTGAATACTTTTCATAACAATATAACTTAAAAGAAAGAATAACATATTTTTATTATTCTAAAAAATTTAGTTAAAGGATTCAAAAAAATTTCAAAAATACTTAAAATTAAATTATCAGATAAGTATATAATTTTAAAATTTAAATGATGATTTAATTGCTAATCTGACATTTTAATAAATAAGTAGCAACAAAAATTATAATCTTACTTTATCAAAAGCTTGCTATGCAAACATTTAAGATATTAAGATATAAAATTATAGAATTTTCACAATAAATTAGCTACAGATTTGTTTTTATTTTAATTAAATTCATATATTATGATTAAACTTAGCTGTTTTGCAAGAAAATGAAGATTTACTTTATTACTATATAATAATAAACTAATGATAGCATTGAAAATATTTTAAAAATTTATAATAGTGCAAATTCACTAACTAGTAAAAGCAAAAAAGTATAAAACATTTATACTTTGTCTAATAAAAAAAATATTGAATTTTGTTATTTCTACCTGAAATAGATCAGTCAAAACTTTTTTTTTTTTTTAATTTTTCAATTATTTTTGTGAATCTATTTTTTTAAAATATTTTTTTTTTTGTCATAAAATCCTTTAGTCGATTGTGTATAATTTATTTATCTTTTTACTCAGCAAAAGTGAATTTTTTAAATAAAAATTATAATAATATCTCTTATGCTTAAAATAATTATTTTACTTCTGTATCAAATATATAATTTAGAAATATTTTTTGGTCTTAAATTATCACGATATCTTGTTAGGAAAATTTGCTTTCATCTTGACCCATATTCTGGTTTCTGAATATTGAATGAAAACTAAAATATTTAATACGTTCCCATAACCCTGCTAGAGTGTCTTCTATACAAAATGTTACTTGCTTCATACAGGAAATGATTTTTTAGTGTGATTAGAAATATATACTTTCTATTATGTATTTCCTACTTTTATTAATGAAAATCCTTCGATCAAATCCGTATGACAATGATTTTTTTTATTTTATTATATCCTTTTGTGAACGTAAAACACATCCTTATCGTGTTGCATTTGTTGATTCACATCGCTTAATTTATGCATGTATCTGTAAGAGTTACAGTTTGAAACAGGATAACTAAAACGTAAAAATTGTTTTAACATTAATGATAACGTGTAAACAGTTGAAATAAAATTCGTTTTGTAGGCGTAGGCTCTTCATTTAAAATATTTGTATTATAGATTTTTACTTTCCAGGCTGAGTTTTTATTCAGTCGCATAAAAATTCATATATTCTCCATCAAAATCGAAACAAAGAACAATCTTCAGATTTCAGAACCAAAAAAATTTTTTTTTCTCGAATCAGTCGAATATCACGATTTTTTAACGTTCTACAGTAATTCCATGGCTAAAGGGTTTCCTTCGTTCACTTCAAAAATGTCCTGAATATTTTAAGCTAAGTATTTTGCATATATAGAGTAACTATACCGCACAATTAGTATTTATGTAAATTATAATCCGAATACAGTCGCTCAATTTTTATTATTGTAAATGCGAAATATTATTTTAAATGTCCTTTAAAAACGATTTAAACTTTAGATTTAATGCGGTAAGTATCCGATCAGGAACGTATTTAGACATTTATCTTGGGCTGGTGGAGGCTAATTATACCTACTGATACCGATAGCTCATATGAAATGCCAGTCGAGAAAGTTGGCTCTCCCATTCCTCATATCTCTTCATACTTCTATGTTTCTCTTAATTCCAAATATCTATTTGAGCTGTTCGGGAAAAAATGTTAAGCGCCATCGCCGCCCAAGTATGACCTTTTGGGTCTTGTTCTAATTATCATAAAATCAGATTGATTGTAAAACACTTTCAGTAGAAATTTATGTCAGAATAAAATTATTCAGAGTTATGGTTCATTTACAATTTTATATTTGCTGTATTGTATAATTTCCATTTTGCCGTTTACCATTTTGTTCCCCAATCAGCTCATATTGGATGTGCTGGTGTTTTGGTAGAGTCGCTTTTCCGTTTATCACAGGAATTTTCAATTTTCTGATATTAGAGACAAGACCATTCCCAAACCCACTAATACCTTTACCATTGTATCCGATTATCATCAATCATAAGTTTTTAATTTTAATCATAGTCATAGAAAATTTAAACTCAAAAATCTGACTATTGTAATAAGACTTGGAATATTAAACTTTTTTAATTGTAAATAACCCAATCGTATAATATTGTAATTCTCAATTGTATATGTCGGCTTGTGGACTTCTCAAGAAAAAATTGCATACTATGATGATGGACCCGGGTTCGAATACTTTCTGAATACATCGTGATTTCTCATAAATAATTGTGGCCAAGTGGATAACACCTCTGAACACTGGCAATTGGTCAAAAAATTCTATGTGGCCAGCCCGTTAGACGCGAGATCGACCATACGGATTCGATCTCTGTTTTCCCAGAGCAATAGTCTGCCGCCTTATTCGCCTTGGCTATTTGCCATTTCCATGATGAGTTCGATCAGGTTTACAATGGGGGCTACTAAGTAGTGCAAGACAAGCCCTGACGTGGGTCCACCAGTGGCCAAGCTGTTCCGTTCCCTGAACACGGAGTTCGGTTGTGGGTTCGCACCTTGCCAGGACGGGCTGGCCACGTGGCGTTTTCTGGGTTTTCTCCACATCTGTAACGCCTGAATAGGGGCCAGTTACCCTTAAAAAGACCTCCTGGAAGGCATCGCCCAAGTGTTGCGTTGCCGTATCTTAACAAAACATACAAACATAACCTGACGTATTCAGGAAAGAGTGACCGCTTGTAAAATTTCCGAGTTTCTCTAACCCATTCGGAACTCAATTTTCCCAAAGGCGCTCTGGGTGATCTGAGATCAAAATCTGGATGGTCGAAAATCCCAAAAATTTTGGGTCATATATCCGCGATGTCTGTCCTGGATATATCAGTTTCCATCCATTGTGGGCCTGGACGAACCCACGATGAGCCTGATAAAGATCCTTAATGCCTACAGAATGGAAGAGTCATGAAAAAAGGATCACTTTTTCGGAGTTTACGTTTAAAAATGCTCGCATCAGGACAAAATTCTCTTTCATTGTACTATGATTACCTTTGTGGAAGCTGTATGTGTACTAAAAACTTATAACCAATACATACGCAGTTGTGACGTAATGGCGAAGGAAGAATACTGGAGAGATTGCAGNATTAAATTATGATTGATCGAAGGAATAATATCTTATACTTAAGGAGAATCGTAAATAAAAATAATGTCATATGGTCATAAGAAAATATAGATAATAAAAAACATATATCATCAGAGTCTATAGTCTGTAAAAATTAAATGTATTTTATCAAACACAATTAGTTTTTGGAATTAATTTTTAATTGATTTTATGAAGAGCCATGTTCCTCTTAATCAATCTATTTTTGATTTGTCAGTTTTCTTTTATTAGACTACTTTTCCCTTCATGTCTTCTGGCTATTTAATAGCGTCTAAATATCAATATATTCTTTTAATGAGGAATATTTTCGGGTATAAATGGACAAATCGGGACGTATAGCAACCCTAGCAGATGAGAACTTCAGAGGAAACTTTCTGTTGCCTGCTGTAAATGACTACGGCATCATACTGTTAAAATAAAATAGTAATCATAAATAGTAGTATTTTAAGCAATTTTTCCTAAGTTTCTTGACTCTATCAGCCTTCTGAAATGTTGCCATAATCTTAAAACTATTTTGAATGCATGTTCAACATTCTTAATGCATAACATGAGATTGATATACTTCCGACATTCCTAAAGTTTGGTTGTTTTGGAACCATGTTTTGCATTATTTATTTCTTTTATAACCATTATGTAGTGTATTTAGAAAACACGTGACTGCACAACATCTTTTATTCCAAACTTTCTCGCATATGCCAAAGTGCATTTCGAGCAGATCTCCTTTTCAGTTGGCACTGTAAAGTAACATTTAAAATCCTAAAATATATACTTTTAAAATTGAAGAGGAGCTGTGCTCTAAACGCGTTTTGGCAAACGTAAGAAATTTTCGAATAAAGAACGTTGTGCAGTCGCGTATTTTCTAAATACACTACATAATGGTTATAAAAGAAACGTTCCTAAAGTTCTTCTCGTTATTGAAGCATGTAAGTGTATATGAAACATTATGGGTGACTTCCATTGACAAAAGACGTTTAAAAAAAAAAAAAACATTGAGAATTTAAACTGTAGAAACAGAATTATCCTCTTAAAATGAACATTTGAAACACATATTTCTAAAAATAAAATAATTAGATATTTTCTCATTTTGAAATATAAATTAAAATCTATGATTTACCATTTTTTTCTATTCAATCTGAGGTAAGAAATAATAATATTAAGTAACGTAAAATATATCGACCGATATTTTGATAAATATTTACTTTTTCACTTCATACACTTATCGATTTTCTGATCTTATTATAATTATTACATTATTTTTTTTTTCGCTTTCCGTCCTTTGGACACTAATAGGTCCTTTTTCCAGGCTTTTGTGGGTTCAGCCAGACCACAATGGGGTGAGGGACATATCCGGGATAGATCTCCCGAAAAAATTCCTAGTGATTTTCTGCTGGATTCGAACTCTGGTCTTCCAGAACGGTGCGATGACGCTTAAAATGCATCAATTCACCTTTAATTCACTTCCATTAAATAAAAAGTATTGAAATTACAATAAATTAATTGTTAATGATTTTCCTAATAGTTGACACAGTACATTTATAAATTGTTAACGCATTCACAATAATGTTTTAGGTAGCTCTTTTTTAGATATGACAAAATCCTTTGCAGCAAAATATTAATCGATTTATTAAAATATGAACTACTATTAAGTAGCAATACATTAAAACTATATTACAATTTTAAAATAATTTGCAACGTTGAAATAATTTTTGCAACCAATCTTAACAAAAGAAAGGAGGGATGGCTCTTCTCTTTATTCCAGTTTCCAAGACCCTTTCATCATTTCCACAAAATATTCATCGTCGTCTATAGAAGCGCTAACTCCCGAATAGTAATTCAGAAAATCTTCTCTAGTAACCTATAAGAATTATTTGATAAATGATTATCTTCCTATATTAATGAATATTATTTTAATATGAAGTAATGAAAATTACCGTTCCATCGGGATCGTCGGGTACATCGAAACTGTTCAAAAATTCCTGAAACACTTCATCTTCACTCATATCACCACTCTGGAATTTAGGATGATAAGAAGGGTCGTATACGTTCTTTAGATCGCTAATTGTAATCAAACCCTCTCCCGAAGCATCCATTTTGTCAAAGGCTTGATTGATCATGTCGATTCTGGTGTCCGACATCGGAGGCTTTAAAAAACGAATATTTTTTATATTTTATAAATAATTTTGGAAAATGTCTATAATATGAACTAACGCGGAGTCCTTTGAGGAATTCTTCGAAGTAAATGGTTCCTGTTTCGTCTTGGTCAAATTCGGTAAAGATCTCTTCCACTTCTTCCGCGTCTAGTGACATTCCGTAATCTTCCATACCCTGTTGTAGCTCTTCTCTATCCAATTTCCGATCACGGTTATCGTCCATCACTCGAAATATTCTAATAAAAATTAAATTATGATTGATCGAAGGAATAATATCTTATACTTAAGGAGAATCGTAAATAAAAATAATGTCATATGGTCATAAGAAAATATAGATAATAAAAAACATATATCATCAGAGTCTATAGTCTGTAAAAATTAAATGTATTTTATCAAACACAATTAGTTTTTGGAATTAATTTTTAATTGATTTTATGAAGAGCCATGTTCCTCTTAATCAATCTATTTTTGATTTGTCAGTTTTCTTTTATTAGACTACTTTTCCCTTCATGTCTTCTGGCTATTTAATAGCGTCTAAATATCAATATATTCTTTTAATGAGGAATATTTTCGGGTATAAATGGACAAATCGGGACGTATAGCAACCCTAGCAGATGAGAACTTCAGAGGAAACTTTCTGTTGCCTGCTGTAAATGACTACGGCATCATACTGTTAAAATAAAATAGTAATCATAAATAGTAGTATTTTAAGCAATTTTTCCTAAGTTTCTTGACTCTATCAGCCTTCTGAAATGTTGCCATAATCTTAAAACTATTTTGAATGCATGTTCAACATTCTTAATGCATAACATGAGATTGATATACTTCCGACATTCCTAAAGTTTGGTTGTTTTGGAACCATGTTTTGCATTATTTATTTCTTTTATAACCATTATGTAGTGTATTTAGAAAACACGTGACTGCACAACATCTTTTATTCCAAACTTTCTCGCATATGCCAAAGCGCATTTCGAGCAGATCTCCTTTTCAGTTGGCACTGTAAAGTAACATTTAAAATCCTAAAATATATACTTTTAAAATTGAAGAGGAGCTGTGCTCTAAACGCGTTTTGGCAAACGTAAGAAATTTTCGAATAAAGAACGTTGTGCAGTCGCGTATTTTCTAAATACACTACATAATGGTTATAAAAGAAACGTTCCTAAAGTTCTTCTCGTTATTGAAGCATGTAAGTGTATATGAAACATTATGGGTGACTTCCATTGACAAAAGANAACATATATATTAATTTATCAAATAATTATTGCCCATGGTGTAAATCAGGAGAATCTTCAATCGACCATATACTTAAGGAATGTCAAAGTCTTTCAAATATACGCAACTCTCTTAATGTCTTGCAAATGTTAAATGATAATACTCACCAAGATTATAGAAATAATTTAAACAATTTTAATAAAAAAGATCTCTACAATTTATATAAATATTTCATCAAGGCGACAGAAATGTTGGAAAATTAAATCAGAAGAGTTAACTTATGATATTGTTGTAAAACTTGACTATTATTATTTGAATACAATGTTATGAATATCTAAATACTGTTATTGATTGTTAATTCTGTTAATATTAAACTAATATGAAATATACTGTATATCTTCTCAATGTCACAATATCATTAAAAAAAAAAAATGTTATTATCAATGGTAATTAAATTTGTACAACCCCCGCAACAGGGTTAATCGCTTTTTGCTAATAAAGATACTTTTGATTTGAAAAAAATTTCCCAGATAATTTCAAAAATGATCTAGCAAAAGATACACTAAAAAAATTTGTAGATCTGTACTGTTTTTGAATACATAATTTATTCTACAAAATACAGTTTTACTTTTATAGATTTACTTGTTTAAAATAAAGAAAAATCATTAAAAATTAAGCTGGTAAAGTTATAATTTGATGATTTGATTAACCAAATTATTCATTTATTTCTGAAGTTGTAATAATAATTAACGTTAAAAATAATTATAATAAATTTACTTCTAATTTATTAATTAATATATTTTTTATATTAATATATATTTTATAAAATTTAGTTTTATATTTGAAACCCATTTAAACAATGTTAATTCTTGTTTTTATATATGCAATTATCAATTAAATTATATTGTTTTTCTAAGCGGAATTTTCAGTTTATTAATTATTATTTTATAGTTTTCTCCATTGATTTCAAAGCCGGAAATTTCCTTTTGGTACAGTACATTGTTTTGTCAGTAAGACAAAATTTAAAATAATGTTATTAATCAACGTTATTTCGAAATGTGTTCCAATAAATTACATTACATTAAATGAGGAGATATATACTAAAAAAAAATTTTTACGAATCTAAAATGTAGTATTTTTTTCTGCTAGTTTCGCGGAAGTTTCTATTTTAGATATAAAATTAAAACACCGCAACGTGTTCTCTACTTTGTACCATTTTATGTGTGTTAAGCACAAAAAGTCAATCAAAATGATGATATTTATTTTTGAAAGATGTTGAAATACATGCAGTAAATATTAATATTAATATTAATATAAACAACTGCGAGAAAGTTACTTCATATCTACAACTACAAGAAGGTTACTTCATATCACAATTCTAAAAAATGGTGAAGTAATTTAACGTTGACACTAGATTCTTTATATACATATATAAAATCTAGTGTAAATAAATAAATAAGTAAATAAATTTATTTATGATTTCGGGTATATTTTCAGATTTAAAATTTAAATATAAGGAGAAAGTGGTCTCTGACAGTATAAAAATTGAAAGATTTGATAATCATAAAAAATACTACTGTACAGAGAAAGAATAATTGATTTTTGAGAAAATGAATTTTTTATTCTGAAGTTAATGTTTAGTAAATATATCATGTCTGAATTTTTCTTCTCAGTACAAACGAAGCACTTTATATAATCACTATATTTAGAATGTTTTAGAGATTAAAAAGGCATTAAGCAAAATTTTATCATTTTTCTTAGACTTATAAAAGATTTATTTGTGCAAAAATCAAAACTTTTAACTTACAATTTTTTCATGTAGGCCTGCCTATATTATATATTGTGCCTATATAATATAGGTCTTTAATGAATAAGAAAGTGAAAAAAACAAATGTTTTTTTCACTTTATTATTGATAATTCATGAAAATATGAAAATAAAACATATCATTTTTATTTAAATATGTGCTAAAGTTTCTTAAATATTAAGTATTTAATATTTTATTAGACTATTAAAATAATATTTAAAATTATAATCAATAAAAACATAATTGAAACATGGGAGTGTTTTAATATTAACATTATATTTAATTAAATTTAACATTATATTACAGCTCATTGTTACAAAAATAAATATTAAAAGAGATGAAAATTGATCATTAAATAAGTATTAAGCAATGATTATTAAGTTTTATTAACTTAATAATCATTGCTTAAAAATTTTTAATGTTTTTTTTATTTAAAAAAAATTTATGATAGAAAAATTGCAAATGAAAATTTTTGAAAATTTAATGGATAAATTGCCAAATGATTCTATGAATTTTTAAATACTGTATGAAGCAAAGTGGAGTGAGCAGTTTACTTTTCTATTAATGCATGTGAATCTGTTAATAATTTATAATATTAATGAATTAAAATAATTTTATGAAATTATATTAATTTCTTAATAAAGTTTTTTGTGTAGAGTGAATTTATAAATACTATAATTTGACTTTATATTCTTTAAATAATTATGATAATTTCTACTTATTGAGAATGTTTAAAACAGTGGCGCGTTAACCTACGGACAAAAAAAGGCAATTGCTCGGGATCTACACTAAAAAAGGGCTCCAAACCAATTTTTTATAAGAAAATATTTTCCTTCAAAATTTTCCCGAAAAAAAATGTCTGAAGTCAATGTATACACGGGGCACCCTAATTCAAATTCGCCTGGGCCTCATAAAGCTATAACATGTTTTTTTTAAATATTTAGGCCTAAATGTAGTAATAATATATTGAAATAATCTCTGAGAAAAAATTAAAAAATCTGATATTTAAAATAAAAAATCTTCATTAAAAATGAAGAAAAACTATTTTAATTTCCAATTAAATTTAAGATATGTCGAATAATTCCGTCGTCTACATTCATAATTTATAAATTGCATAATTTATTTATGCAGCTGGAAGGAAAAATAAATCCTATAATTTTCTTTATTTAAAATTCAAAATGTCTAATTTAATTTCATATTCATTCTCTATTGATATTTTAATAAGAAAAAATCACATATTATAAGTTTTCATGAACACTTTAAGTTATAATCAGTTATAATCAATCTAAACACAAATATTATAAACAATTTTTTTAATTTAGAATTTTAAATGTTTTAAAAAAATGTCTATGTAAACTCTAGTAGATCGCAATCTACCTGTTGGGAAGCACATTTTTTTAAGTAATTAGAAAAATTGAAAGGTCCTTAATGATAACGCAGTTATTATGTTGTTTTGTACTCGAAGCTGTTTAATTTCGGATCGATAACGGTAATTAGTATCGGTAAAAGCTGATAGTAAATTAATGAAATTTCTCCACGAGTGTAATAAATTAGTCGGCGCTGATAACTTCCCAATCATTATTAAAAACTAGATATTATAATCGACGCTAACCTGGCAAATCCTTTAATTCCGTGCGCTCCTCTCTCCAAGCATTGTGCTCTTAATTTTTCCATTTTCTTTATCTTACTTTCGATCGATTCTAAAACGCAATAAAACACAATTAAATTCTAAATTATTGATNATTTATGTCATCCTTCAAAATTCTAAAGAAAAACTATTTTATGCTTTTCAGACATTAATAATATAGAAACCATCGTCTGTGTGTGTGTTTGAATTCCTTATAACTCCTGCAATTTTTGTCGAATCCAGATAATATTTTGGTTATATTCGATTTATGTTCTGACAGAAAGTATAGGCTACTTATTTTGCAGAAATATTAACTGTAGAATAAATATTTTATCGATTTTGGATCGGTGATCGCACTTATGTTGCAATGAAGTCAGTGACTTCATTTAGTTCAGCTTGACGACGGAATTTCCTTTAAGTTGCATAAATTCAAAAGATTATTTAAATACTATTAAATATTCTGTACATGTTTTGCATTATTTATTTCTTTTATAACCATTATATAGTGTATTTAGAAAACACGTGACTGCACAACATCTTTTATTCGAAACTTTCTCGAATATGCCAAAACGCATTTCGAGCAGATCTCTTTTTCAATATATGATTCAACATATATGATTCTTCTAAAAGAAATGTGATAATTTCTCTTCTAAAGTACATAATCTAATTATTAGAATACGTATGGGAGCTTGTGAGAGTGTACACGCACATTATATTTTAGATGTTATATCAATAATTTTCGTAATGTTTTATTTAATCTCAGAAGGAAAAATATCTGAATTATTTTAATCAATTTTTACTATTTAAATCAAAAATATAGTTTCGTTTTGGTATTTTTTCAAATAATATACAATTGCATTTGTAATTTGCCATATTCTATGCAAGTTTATTAAATAACATAATGAAAAACATTAAAGCAGGGGTGGCCAACACGAGGCCCGCGGGCCGCATGCGGCCCGCCGGGAGTCATGTTGCGGCCCACGGAGCTAGTTCAAATGAACGTAAATGTTAACTTTATTGTACATATCATCAAAAGAACATTACCTCATGAGTTATTCGTATCATGTATTTTTAAATTATAGCTAAGAGAAGTTTGAAATATCTCTCATTTTTGGAAAAATTCATAGATTTTTAGCTATTTCAAATATCCCGCTATTTGACATTCAAGATTACTTAGTTTTTTGTCCGACGCTAAGCGTTGATAAAATTTAATATGAGACTTCAACTTCCGCTATATATGTTCTGTGGTCTTCGGCGTTATCGGGAAGCTCGCAATGCTGTCGGGCTTATACTCATAACTACTTTCAGTCCAGCTTGACAAAGTTCCGTGTTATTCTGTAGTTTCGTTTTATTATCAGCAATGCATCTGGAGAGATTTTGCAATCGACGTTAAAATACATATTTAACATATTTATAATTACAGTTCAAACTACTGTAACCAAGTAGCCCGTCTACCATATCGATTCTATAAGTAAGTAAACCCTGAAACGTTGGATAAATTCCATCAAGTTGGTTTGGAAGAGTTCTATGAAACGTATTTGGACAAGGATAAATAGCTTGCGTTTTACAAACATGCTCTGTCGATGGTTTCGCTATGTGGAAACACTTATGCATGTGAACAGTTTTTTAGTTGCATGAAGTACATCAAATCACAAGTGAGATCGAATTACTGATGTTCATTTGGAAAACTANAAAAAAAAAAAAAATAGGTGAGTGGCCCGGCAGGAAACATTATTTCTGAAATTTGGCCCGCCCTCTGAAAAAGTTGGTCACCCCTGCATTAAAGGTAAGGTGATGCATAAAAATCAAGATTTCATTACTTGATTTTTAGATAATTTTTAAAGAATTTGTTAATTTACTTCTTACAGAT